TATTACTATCACAGCTTTATCACAGACTAATAAATGTATTCAAATAATATATTATTTTTTTACATTGTATTAAGAAATTATAAAAATTAAGAAAATTTATTTACAACAGACTTTTTGGATCAAAATGAATGTAGGAAAGATATAAGATACACTAATCTATTACGAACTTAAAATTAATTAAGATATTACAATATAGCATATTATAAGAAAAAATGTTCAAATTTATACATCTATAAAAATAAGGTGTAAGAAAAGTAGAAAATCAAGTAACTTCAGAGCTTTTTAGGGAAGCCATAGCAGATTGGAAAGCAGAATATTCTCTAGTTTCTTTATGTAACTGAGGAAACATACATAAATGAATAATGATCAAACAATAAAAATAGTCTGAAAGCTTAACTACAATGGCACTTATTTGTTTACAAGTATCACAAAATAGCAATATTGTTGTACCCACACAGTATTGCAAAAGTTTCCAGCAGGAATTAAGACTCAAGAGTATATAATATCAAGAAGTTCCAATGTAGAACCATGTCAAAAGCTCTCTTGGAATCTTTTGTCTCTAATGCGTTGATTCAGATAAGATCACTGAGGATATCTAAATAAAATCAAATAGAAAACGATGGCCAAAGCATAAATATACTGACTAATCTATGCCTTCTTCCTCTGGTCTGAAATATAAAATAAAAAAATCTATTAAAAAATTAAAATTTTAAGAAAAACACAGCATTATAAAATATGCAGTATTTCAAAAGGTTCAAGATTTTCTGAGAATAACTTACGGGTTATTGTGTAGGAATAAAATTGCGTTCACAATTTCTGGCTTTGTGCAAGATATTCGCTCAATAAGTATATATTCTGCTCTCTTAACAGATTCCTCGTTTGGAGCACTGCTTGCTGGGATTGCAAACAGTTTTCTGGCAATACCGCTCAATTTTGGTAAAAGCAATGTTTTTTCCTTCCACCATTGTAATAAATCATCATCTTTTGAAGCTTCTACATTCATATATGTGCTAATCTCATCTGTACAGTCTACAGATCCTGTATCCGAATCAACCCATTCTTGAAACATAAATCTCAGTCTTTTTAATTCTGGTCCTTCATAACTTGTAGATGCAACAGGTTCCTCTATCTTAATATCAATCAAATTGTCAACAATCAAATCTCTCACATGTTGTAGAACCTCTGCTCTTTCTGCCTCTGACAGCATTCGTAATTTTCTGAAAGCAGGTACTAAAAATGTAGCTATTTTACAATACTTGTGAACGATCAAATTCTCTTGCAAATAATCTCTGGTAGCACGTTTGATTCTCTCCATTTCGAGACTGTCATTATCGTTGCTTGAACATTGTTTTATCAATTTCTTCAGCCATAGTAAGACTAGATACAACCTCGGCGTCGTGTCTACTTCCAAAATTGCTATTGCATTCTCGAATGGTTCCAAAAATTCGATCAAATCTTCTACTTTCTTTAAATCGTAACCTTCAAGTTTCGCACTCTCGTTCACGTTCGCTAAAATATCAACAATCTGCACGTATTGTTTAGCAACAGAGCGCAGCATGGCTACCTTCGAGCACCATCTACTTTCTGTTTCTTCCTGCAATAGGTTAGGAAGCCGCGACTCGTAGCCGGAGTGTTTAAAATACGCGACTATATTTTTCGTTTGTACGAGTATCTGCAATAATCCCGGCGCGTGTTCGGAAAGGAATTGTTCGTTAAATACGCTACATAAACACAAGGTAATGTTATAAATTATACAATCCAATCTGTCAAATCCTTTCAACGCTTTGATAATGTTATTCTCCTGGTCCGTGACGAATGTAATGTACTGCAACATATCGCTGGGAATTCCGAACTCTTCGAACTTGCGGCACAATTCCAATTTTATATTCTCTGTCGTTTTACTATCATCTGGTAAGTCAGTTGTAAACAGAACTCTTTTTTTCAATATCCATAACTCGTCGATGTAGTACAACGTAACCGTGTAATACGTTATCTCTATGCAACTGTCACTCCAAACATCTATCGCAGCAGCACAATTACCACTCTGAACTGCATTCAACACCTCCGGTAAAATGTGATTTCTCGTTTTATCGGTTAATCGTAAAAGATATCTTACTAACGTCGCCGAAGTCGGAAGAATATTTTTCACTGACACACTGCCATATCTGCATCCGATATTTATTATTGTCTGTGCTAATTTCTTAAATCCTTCGCCACCTAAATTGCTAACCGGTTGCACATCGCGTAAACAATATTCCGTGCATTTTTCCAAAATTTTCCTCCTGTCATTGGTCGATATATCGTTCATGATTGTCCTACACGTGTGCCTAATTAAATGAGACGTTCCACTTTTGCCTTTGTACTGTAATATCTTTTTGCACAATTTGCACTGAACGTATCCACTGTTCCTATTTGTCTCGGTGTTTTTTATCATCAAGAACTTTTCCCACACTGCACTTTTCCCTTTAGTATTCCACACTAATTCGTATTGTCCACTGTCGATCTTTTCTTGAATATTTATATTCTCGGTTCCATTGCTGTTGCATGTTCCATATTCGGTCCCATGTTCCATCATTAGCTCCTGATTACCATCCATAATAAATTTTTGTTTTTCATGCCGAAATGTATCAATCGTGTGATTCGATTAACACGTATCAATCTTGCTACTAAATCGACGTGCATGAGATTCTCTCACCAACAGAGGCGTCAAGTTTGGCGGTCCCAAGCGCACTGAAAATCTAGAGATGAAAAAACACTGAATACGAAACAGCTTTAGAATATAAGGGGTGGGTAACAAAAGTCTCGTTTAAATTTCCTACAGTTTGAAGTTGAAGAAGAGTGGACTTGAAGAGGGGACACAAGGGCAAGCGGAGAACGCCCTTGGCGCCACCTACACCGACCTACACGACATTTCAAGGAATGTTCGATTCATTATTATAACTGAACAGGAAATTCTCTCTGTGTGTTGTAATGAATAACATGCCTAGGAGATAATTAGCGACAGAATGGATATTAAGTTTCATCAATTTTTACCCTTAAACCTTAGAAATACTCAAAATCTCATAGATTCCGGATGCGTAAATGTATTAATGTACACATATGTAGTCTTCGATATTAGAAAGAATTCAAGCTTATATAAGTCATATTTATATAAATCAAGATTTTTTATCCATAGTCACATATACACCCTATATAACAGATTTAATTATGTGCATTTATATTAAAGATATTTACAAATATTTATAAAGAATTCGAGCTTATCCTGTCTTGGTTCAAAGTATTGCTTTTCTCTTTTGATCTACTTGTAAAGTATTCGAAACTATTCTGTTAGATCCGAAACTATTTTCAATATACTTCATCTATAGTTACACTAGTTCAGCTAACGATGTTTACAGATACGACCCATTAAATGGAATGTTCTGCTTTCATGAACCACAAAATGAGCGGGAAATGCTCCCACTAAATAATCATTATTGGAACCCAGAGTATAGGGCAAGGTACTTAATCATAATCTCTGAAATTCGAATTTTTAAAAACAGTCGATACTTTACAGGGACTAGAAGAGAATTTCCTGCTTCCACTAATTTAAAAAAACTAAGTCCCCCTTCCTCCCAGTACCTTTTTTCAATTTTTTAGAAGGTATAAATATCAGAGAAGTATGTCTCTCGTGCATATAAAAATGTTTTAATATCATTGAAAAGTATAGTAATAAATTAAAAAAATTATAAAACAAAAATTTGCGGTGCAAAATAAATGAATACAGTGCAAATTAGACGCGGGCGTGGACGAAAATTGAGGACCGAGATTCGAGGTCGGGCCGGAGTGCGGGTTGGGCAGACTTGGGTAAGCCCGAAATATTGTAGTAGGGACGTATGGTTTTGAAGGATTGAGTGGTGCAGACGCGGTCAAAAGCAAGACAGCTTTAGTGGCCTTGGGCAACCGTTGCAGCGGAACGTACCAGCCCGGCCCGGCCCGGCCCGGCCTAGCTGGATGGATAAATCAATAGGCGGAATTGGGCTTGCCCGACCAAGCCCGCTTGTTACTTTCCCACTCGGACCTGTGCAGTATTGCCAGATCTGGAACGTGCAAGGTTGCCACATTATTTAGGACTTTGTAAATATTTGCACAAAACTGCTTGAAATTTAGCATTTTAAATGTGCTCCGAAATTGTTATTGCAATTTTTGACAGTATAAATGCTATTTTATTCGAATAATTCGTTAACACAGCTCAGTTTTTACAATAACAAATTTAGGAAGATGTACAATAAAATAGAAAAACGTATCTAAAAAAATGAGCAATCATCAGATAATGAACTTGTGTCTTCATTTTAAAATTATATAAGTGAATTATTTGACTGCATAAATTGAGGCAGAATTTCTTAATGGAACTTTTGGGAACGTTTTTAATTAATACACAATATTTTCTTATTGTAGTATAATTTAGGTATAGAAATAATTATCAATTCCTTGTTACTCCCTATCATACCGACCGGAGTTGGAATTGCATGGCAGTGCCATCGCTGGTTGAAGATAAAAGCTCTATTTGAGAAGAAGTCTGCTTTATCTATATAGCATAAACTATATTAATTATCAATTAAAGCCAATATATAAATTTACTTCATAAAATTATTATATAATTATTTTTAAAGGTGCATATATATTTAATTATCAGTGATAAAATGATATTGTTCGTTAATTTGAAACGTTTATTTTATTTGAAAGAAATGACAATATAATTAAATGTTACTAACACGTTCCTTAAATATTTTTTTAAGAACTACAATACGTTCTCCCTAATTGACTCTCAACCTGTACACAAAAATGGACAATTTGGGAAGAGGAGATACGATTATTCGAGCTTTGCGGCTCGTTTTTATAGTTACCGATTGTCGAATAATCGTACCTCTTCTTTCCAAATTGTTCATTTTTGTTTCCAAGCTGACGGTCATTATTATTTAAAACAAACGTGATTCATGTACATATTGAATATCTGCATCCGCAAATCTAAAGCTTGTTCTAACTCCATTATCCATATCTTAGATATCTTGAATATCGGATACGCGATATAAATTCATGCGATTCATTCTTACTTTTCGTATCTTAAATGTACTCGAGATCAATCGTGCTACGCTAAGAAAGACCATTCAACACAATTCATAAAATGTTTTAGATATTCTGCGTACGTTCCATTTAATCCACTGCTACAGACGCATTTAGAGAAAATGAATCAGAATATTTTTAGAGTCACACGCTCGTACAAGTATTCTTAATAAATGATAAAAAAATTTTATCTGATGAATTAATAAAAAGTAGTTGCCTAATACGGTCTATTTTGTACAAGAAAAATGCCGAGATAAATAAAGACACAGACCAATTTGCCCGATAAAAGTGAATCGATCTTCTATGAGTTTTTAAGATGTTCATTGCACCTTGTAGCGAACGAACAAATTCATTTAAACATTATATCAGACTTATTGCTGAAAATGAACGTGATTCCATGGTCATGAATATAAAGATGTATGTAATGCATTTTTTTATTGGATCAACGCGAGAATTCGAATTGTAAAAAAATTATACGTATCCAAATAGCTGTTTATTCGGTCTTGTTACTTCGGAAAAGGGATTACAAGCTTTTTGAATGTTATCAGAAAATATCTTCGAACTTTTCAAGAGGTTCAGATTAATCCGTCGGCTGCCAAATCAGACGATAAAAATTCCACAAAATCGTTGTCCCTGCCTTGGCACAACAAAATCTGATTGGTCGAAGCTTATCGTAACACTCAGAGCCCGGAATTACTTTGAACACGTGAGCAATTATTTGGTTGACGCGAAAGTCAACGCGTTAAATTGTAGAACGATCTATCAACATAAAATGGACGTCCTCAGGACGTCTTCTCATCTACAGGTAACCAATTGCGCTTACAGAAGTACAATACCACTCTGCGTAATCGATCAACGAATGTTTTACTGTCTTCCTGATCGATAATAGCCGTGTGCATGTTGTCATAATCGAAGTTCGATTCCTTTATGTCCATCGTCATTATCTTGATCATCATCAGTAAGTGTACGAACTCGTAATGAGCATCTTCTTTCAACTTCTCCAAGAATAATTCTTTGTCGAAANAGCTTTGCGGCTCGTTTTTATAGTTACCGATTGTCGAATAATCGTACCTCTTCTTTCCAAATTGTTCATTTTTGTTTCCAAGCTGACGGTCATTATTATTTAAAACAAACGTGATTCATGTACATATTGAATATCTGCATCCGCAAATCTAAAGCTTGTTCTAACTCCATTATCCATATCTTAGATATCTTGAATATCGGATACGCGATATAAATTCATGCGATTCATTCTTACTTTTCGTATCTTAAATGTACTCGAGATCAATCGTGCTACGCTAAGAAAGACCATTCAACACAATTCATAAAATGTTTTAGATATTCTGCGTACGTTCCATTTAATCCACTGCTACAGACGCATTTAGAGAAAATGAATCAGAATATTTTTAGAGTCACACGCTCGTACAAGTATTCTTAATAAATGATAAAAAAATTTTATCTGATGAATTAATAAAAAGTAGTTGCCTAATACGGTCTATTTTGTACAAGAAAAATGCCGAGATAAATAAAGACACAGACCAATTTGCCCGATAAAAGTGAATCGATCTTCTATGAGTTTTTAAGATGTTCATTGCACCTTGTAGCGAACGAACAAATTCATTTAAACATTATATCAGACTTATTGCTGAAAATGAACGTGATTCCATGGTCATGAATATAAAGATGTATGTAATGCATTTTTTTATTGGATCAACGCGAGAATTCGAATTGTAAAAAAATTATACGTATCCAAATAGCTGTTTATTCGGTCTTGTTACTTCGGAAAAGGGATTACAAGCTTTTTGAATGTTATCAGAAAATATCTTCGAACTTTTCAAGAGGTTCAGATTAATCCGTCGGCTGCCAAATCAGACGATAAAAATTCCACAAAATCGTTGTCCCTGCCTTGGCACAACAAAATCTGATTGGTCGAAGCTTATCGTAACACTCAGAGCCCGGAATTACTTTGAACACGTGAGCAATTATTTGGTTGACGCGAAAGTCAACGCGTTAAATTGTAGAACGATCTATCAACATAAAATGGACGTCCTCAGGACGTCTTCTCATCTACAGGTAACCAATTGCGCTTACAGAAGTACAATACCACTCTGCGTAATCGATCAACGAATGTTTTACTGTCTTCCTGATCGATAATAGCCGTGTGCATGTTGTCATAATCGAAGTTCGATTCCTTTATGTCCATCGTCATTATCTTGATCATCATCAGTAAGTGTACGAACTCGTAATGAGCATCTTCTTTCAACTTCTCCAAGAATAATTCTTTGTCGAAAGCCTTCGTATCGCACTTTAGTTGGTTCAGTCTCTTCAGCAGCGTCTCATAGTATAAATCTAGCAGGCTTTCGAGCTGTTCGTCCGTGATGTCAACCTCGACGCTCGTAAACAGATAAAGGATTACATCGCGCAGCGCGCTGGAGTACACGTACGTTTGGAAATCGACGAATTTCACGTCGTCGATTTTCCCCTTGTCATCACGATGAAACAGCACATTGTTCACCCAGAAGTCGGTATGGATGATGGTCATCCAAGGCTCCCGGGGAACGTCTCCCCAGAACCCTTTGCGCACTATATCGTTGACGACGTTTTCACAGACGTCGTAATAGACGCACATGTCGGGATCCTCCTTGATCGTATTCAATGTTGCTTCAAACATATCAGAGTCAGGTGCTGCATCTATCGAGTAGGTTTTCGAGTGCATCTTGAACATGTGGAACAGTCCTGGTTGCTTCTGCTTCATGGCCATCCCCAAAGCATGAAACCTGGCCAGGGCTTGCAAGGCGACTTTCGAATGCTCCATGTCGTATCCTGCATTAAACGATACATCGTTGTAAAACGAAGCTATGCTATGTATGGACAATTTGAAAATATTTATCTGTTCACTTATAATGTTTAGATGATGTTCAAGATAGAAATAATTATGTGCGAGCGAGTGCAACAGGCTCGTCTTTTTTTGAATCGCATCAGGAACGGCCTCGATCTATCGTAGAAAGCAGAGTTGCTTCGAACAGTTGTAAAACTGACATATACGTCAATCTACGATAAAAGGCTGCCAGTATGAAGCGAGTTAAACCGGTTGATCACGAATAATGATTGCAGGCAAGCCGCCTTTATGACACAAACGAACAACTCGGATATTAAACTGTAGAGAGATATCAGACTTACAATTAGATAACTCGTCATTTTGCACAATGATCCTTGGTCTAATTACAAGTAAGCAAATGTAATCACAGGAAGTTGGACATACCGACACTCCTGACGCCATGGTAGTATCCGTAGGCCTTCAGGTTCTCCATAAGGAAGACCGCGTCGTCGTCCATCTCGACGTCCGGTTGCAGGGACATCCTGGACCCGTAGAACTTCGGCAGGAAGTTGAAGACCTCCTTGGGTTTCAGGCTAGCCTCGAGCTTGCTGTAGGCCGGCATAATTGTCTCGTACATGAAGATTTCCTTGACGAACGTCTTGGAGCTGTTGAAGATGCGCCGCTGAAACTCCGTCGGCGGCAACATTTTACCGATCAGGTGGAGCTGCTCCTGTTCACCGTCCTGCCCTTTTTTCAGGTCGACGTCGACCTTGAGGATGGTGCTACCATAGTTCTCGCCGGGGGGCAACAGGGGCTCGACAGTGAAATTCTCGACGACCACATGGTCCCCGAGTTTCTGGCGCAGCAGAGGCTCAACCTCGCGCAACACGATCTCTTTCATCTCTGCCGTTTCGTTGTCTTTCATGATCGCGACAGGCTTCTCTTGCTTCTCTCCTCCTTCCTGCATCGCACGATCTATGCAACCGTTCTAGTCTCTTTCGAAAAAAAAGATGATCGATCTCAACGACAGGAACCGTTTCGAAGCTGAATTTGTATTATATTTCGTCGGACAGTTCGACTTTGTTTGCGGTCTTCGAGGCCGCTGTCCCCCGATCGTTGTCCTTATCAATTAATTCGATTCGTGGATCATTACGCAATACTAGCCGGTACATGTGGAATTTATCACGAAACCGTGTTGGAATGGACACGTGAGCCCACATACGTGTTGCTCTGTCATCGTTCCATCTGACGCGACTGTCATGATAACTTTTATGAGCGAATGGCCCTACTTACTGCAGTTAGGCTCGTCCCCGATCTGTTGCTCTTTCATTGTGTACACTGGTCACATAACATTAGAAGTAGCAATTTATGCATTTATGACAAAAGTTTGTGCAATCTGAAATACCAGCAAGATTAAAATAGGCCTACTGAAATTATTAGAGAAGAAAAGTACCAAAGTGGTTCCTGTTACTTTTTTTAAGACATTTTTTGTGGCAAGTCCTGGGTTGTATCAGTTCTTTGTTGTCGTCATAGATCTAGTTAAACTGAATAATATTTATTTAAATCATTTTTTTTTTAAATATTTTAGAACCAATATTTCGTGATCAAGGACAATGGCATATTAATGAAGTATTAAAAATAAAAGATACAAGATAAAACAAGATTTATATAAATAATAATATAATAAAAGATAAAAGCTAATGATTCATTGATCCTTATGCTCACCGTGTATTAAATTTAATTTATACAGTTTCATAAATGAAAACGTTTTTGTGTCATTGCGTTTTGATTACTTGTTCGATAGTTTATTAATTTATTTATATTTTTACTTTGTCAGCTATCATTTACCTGCCGTGTCTTCGCTTGAAAAATGGTGTCAATCGTAAATGATTCAACACGTGATCTAACTATGTCTAGGATAGATTTCCCAAGCATTCGATTAGACGTCCTTGAAAACAATGTCTACTTTTACACGGTAAGATTTCCAGGCTACGAATAATTGTGTAACATTCAGTTTTCAGAAAAACAATTTCCGAAGATCGATTAAATCAATTTAAATATGCTACGAATTTTTTTTGTTACGTAATGTTGTTGAGTCGCTTGTATAAATTTCAGGCGTGTGAGGAAACTCGATGTTACGGGATCGGGACGGGACGATGAGAGATCCTAAGTGTTTCAGGATCTCGAGCAGTGACTTTTTCCGACCCGTCCCGAACTTCGGGTTCCCAAGACTCTCATGAGTTTGTACACTCCTAATAAATTTCCATTTATTATAGCTAAAACAAGTTTGTATATTTTTACTCGTATCAGTGAAATCAGAAAGATCAAGCAATGGGGAAATTATCATAAAAAGGGTAAATTTATTTATGAAAAGTATAATGATACAAAAATATGGCATTTTTGTAATAGTAGAGCAATAGTTATAATAATAATTCATGTAAATAACAATATAATAATGAATGTTCCATTAAAACAAGTACGTTATATATTATATAGTATTGTTGTCAAAAAGTAGTTCGTCAAGTAACATACAGAAATGTCATTTAAACTCTATAAAAAATATAATTTACATGTTCCATAACGTTTGGTAAAGTATGTGGTGGACATGTTATGTAACAATGAACTTTAGAAGTATATAATACTATACAGTAAAACCCGGATAATCGTTTGAAATCATTTGCTGCATAAATACCCGGCAATCATCCGCACAATGGTAGGGATAATGCGATAATCTTCAATGGTAGAGGTAATCCTCTTGAACTCGAAATAGAATGTCAATAAGACAGCACTAATTCAACAATGAAACTATGTTATTTTATATTTTCTTGGAATTGTACATTTATCAATGTATCTCTCTTTTCGATTTTTCTGATTAAAATAGAACCAAACACGATATAATTTGCATTATATTTACTGATTGATATTTACCGACTGTACGATAAATTACAGAAAAGAATTGTGCCACATTTAAAATAATTATACCGCGCGCGCGTATTTCATCTTATTATAATCATCCAAACCTTTCGATTACATTGGTAAAAGTTCCAATGAGCAAGAATAATAAATAATATCGTTTAACTGTTGTATTAGTGTATTGTTTTATAGATAGAGTCAATTTCCCTATTTCATAATTGCTCGCTTTGAGTTTCAAATTTCGGACATTTACCCAAGTTTTACTGTAGTAATATTTTAACTATCTTGAATTCTCTGACGAAGGATTGATTCTCCATCTGCTTCAATTAATTTATGATGTACAGCACTGAGAGCCTGTAATTTCAAACAGAATAATTATAAAAGTATCTGGATGCTATAATATCTTATATATTACAGTATATACCTTAAAATATTTAACAGTTTTAACACGCAGCTCCAATGTTGCATCTTCATCGCAAATGATTATTGTTCGAGGATGTTGTTGGAAGGCTGATACGGTCCACATATGATTGATTCCTTCCTCTATTGCCTTATACAGTGCAAATGCTTTGTGAGATCCTGTAATAAGAATCATTACTTCTTTAGCATCCATTACTGTGCCAACACCCACAGTCAGTGCCTGCTTAGGAACTTTGGAAATATCATTTCCAAAGAATCTTGCATTGGCTTCCAATGTATCTTGTGCCAATGTTTTCACTCTTGTACGCGATGCTAGAGATGATCCTGGTTCGTTGAAAGCTATGTGACCATCTGGTCCAATACCTGCGAAACGATTTCAGTATGTATCAGGTCTTTGAATAAAATTATCTATTACAAAAGATCTACTAACTATTATAAATTACAAACCACCAATAAACAATTCAATTCCACCGGCCTCCTTAATTTTCATTTCAAAATCATCACATTCTTTTGTAAGATCTGGTGCATTTCCATCAAGAATATGCACGTTTACTGGATCAATATCTATGTGTTTAAAGAAATTATTGTACATATAATAATGATAAGATTCTGGATGATCTCTGGGCAAATCTACATATTCATCCATGTTGAATGTCTTTACATATTTAAAGGAAAGTTTTCCTGCTTTACAGTACTCTATAAGTTTCATGTACATTCCCAAAGGTGTGCCACCTAAATAATAAACAGTAACAGATAAGATTTACCACAAAAATGATGTAGAAATATTGCAAAAATCAAAATTATTTACACCTCGATTTAATAGAATGAATAATAAAACATACCTGTCGGAAGACCAAGAACAAAATATTTCTTTTCATTCGGCTGAAAATCATTGATTCTTTTCAAGACATATTTGGCAGACCATTCTGCCACATGATCCACTTTATCACAGATTACTAATCGCATTTTTATATAAGCTGTAAGTTAATTCACACTAGACACTGAAAAGACGTTTAATTATAAATGTAAATATTTATTGAAGCAAATTTTGAAGCGTAGAACGATAAAACTGCACGCAAATAATGCTGCTATTCTCTTCGCATACAAGCGATGCACTCTATAGCGCTTTACGAATTTACAATGATATTTACGACCGTATGGCGATATCTTTGTGACAACGACCTTTTATCGTGTATAAATATAATGCAGGAAAGCTTCACAGTTTCTCAACATTTATTACATGCATTTATCTTTGCAATTCAATTTTTTTCTTGCTTTGTTAAGCAAATTTGAATTAAAGTAAAAACTTCTTTTGCAATTATTAGTTTTATTGATTTTCTCCTCCAACGTATGCAAAGGACAACAAAGCTAGAAAGTTTTCTTAAATAAACTTTACAAATTATACAACTTGTAACACCGAATGTGCAATACAATAGTTCGAGTTTCGCTGACTGGTTCCTCGGGCTTAATTTTGAGGTCAATAACCAGTGGTTGTCGTCTTTTAGAATGGCGCACTTATTAACTTAAAATACATCACAAATCAAGGTTTTCTATTTGTTAATTCAAATTCTGCAACAACAGCGGGAAACGAAAGCTCTCTCTCGCGGAGGAGAGGGAAATATAATTTAGAAAAAATACAAATCTCCGATAGAAACGAACCTCTTCTCGTCGTTCAGTCGGTCAGCCAGCCAACCAGCAAATTAGCGAATGCGCGACTAACCTAGTCTCAATACTTTGCCACTTTGAAATCTAAAATGTACGAATTAATCTTTCCCCATTGCAGTTGCCACTTGAAAATGAGTTATTTGGAACAGACTTCACGATAACTTGATAAAAGTACTACTTGATAGACACAAGCGTTTACTTCATAGAAATCAAATTTATTTCGTCACAAATTGAATTAATATGTCCTCATATTTTAACGAATAATTTATATTAATATTTATATAACAATTTGTTCTTTTCTGAATACTGTTTTGTTAGGGAATATTTATTTGTTATTGTATCAGGTACAAATATCAATATCGATCAGCAATTGATTAAGATTAGAATTGGCGGGAACGAGTACATAATCGGTATCGCTGTTCGTATCAATCGGACATAATTTTGCATTTAATAAAGGCATTTTTGTATATTCTGTTGATATTTAGAATGCCTGAAGTGACGATCAACAACGTTATTATTAATTTTCCTTTTAAACCATACTCTGTTCAAGAAGACTATATGGCAAAAGTAATAGAATGCCTTCAAGACAGTAAAAATGGTGTATTAGAATCTCCAACAGGTACACTTCAATGATATTTTTATATCTTGATTTTAAAGTTAGAATAATATATAATTAGACATACGTGCGTAATTTAGAGACTACATACCACTTTATTGTTTAAAAATAAAATCGCGTACTGATCATTTTTAGGCCAATTTTGTCATTACACTAAAAAATAAATACCTTAGAACAAAGTAATTTTTACCAATGAAAAGAGTAAAACATTTATAATGTATTTGATAATGAAATTTACTAAAAATTTCAGGCACAGGCAAAACACTATGTCTTTTATGCTCATCCTTAAGTTGGCTATTAACAAAAAAAGCACAACTACAAGCGCAATCCTTAGTGGGAGCAATAGAGAAACCAAATTTTGGAGGACATTTCTTCAATAAACTTAGCAAAGAACTGAAAGGAGCTACAGGTGACACGGAGCCTTCGTCAAGCTTTATTTCGGCTGCCCCAAAAATTATCTATGCATCTAGAACGCATTCACAACTATCACAGGCAATGCAAGAGTTAAAAAGAACTGCTTACAAACATGTCAGTACAGCTGTATTAGGATCTAGAGATCAGCTTTGTATCCACCCAGATGTTTCAAAAGAAATCAACTCTTCGAATAAGATACATATGTGTCACTCTAAAGTAAAATCTAGAACATGCCTTTATTACAATAATGTTGAAACAAGGTAAAGGTTTTTAATATTCTATGTTCACATAGTAACATACACTAGTATCTAATTGAAAATCAATTTTTTAGGAAAGAAGAACCCTTGTTCAAGCAGGAAGTGCTGGATATAGAGGATCTGGTGAAGGCTGGTCAGAAATACAGATGTTGTCCATATTTTTTATCCAGAGAACTGAAACAGAATGCAGATATAACTTTTATGCCATACAATTACTTGTTAGATCCAAAAGCGAGAAGATCTCAAGGCATAGATTTGCAGAACAGTATTATTTTGTTAGATGAAGCACACAACATTGAGAAGATGTGTGAAGAGGCAGCATCATTGCAGATATGCAGTACAGAAGTTGCAATGTGTATTGATGAAATCACAGCAGTAATGGAAGACTTGGCTAACAGTACACAAGAAAATGATTTCACAGTGGAGAATTCGGGAAATGTACAAAAAGATTTTACTGCTGATGATTTATGTATTTTGAAAGCCATGTTTTTGGAATTGGAAAACGCAATCGACGATATAAAAATCGTGAAACGCGATGAAGGGGATACGTATCCTGGGAGTTACATCTTTGAGTTGCTTGGAAAAGCTCAAGTTAGTTGACAATCATATTTCCAATAAAATATCTCTAACATAGTTAGCTTTAATAATTTCTCATCCTAGATAACGCATGGCAAGGAAATTCTAGTGACTGAGAAATTAGACAAGATTGTTCTTTATTTAACGACCACAAGCACATCTCCGTTTGCAAGAAAAGGTAATGCGCTGCAAAAATTCAGTGACCTATTAAGAATAGCATTTAACAATAGTAATAATATGCGCCACAGAGAAAAACTCAAGCAATGTTACAAAGTGTACATTCAAGTAGAGGAACCAAAAAAGAGTCATAAAAACGATGTTTGGGAGACAAAGAAAGCTTTAAAGAATGAAGGCAAAGTTATTAGCTATTGGTGCTTTAGTCCAGGATTTAGGTAAAAGCAGTGTTCTACTGATGGCATTACATTTATGCACTATCTAAAAGTTCTAATACGCACATTTTTATGCAGTATGCAGCAGTTATTTGAACAAGGCGTACGCTCTATAGTCTTAACAAGCGGTACATTGTCCCCTTTAAAACCTTTCATATCCGAACTCCAAATACCAATCGATGTCCAATTGGAAAATCCACATATAATAAAAGGAGATCAAGTTTGCGTGGGTGTTCTTAGCCAAGGTCCCGACGGCCATGCATTAAACTCTTCTTATAACACAAGGTAATTCCATTAAAAATACTTTCACAAAGTACATATTCAAATAATATATTTTTTCAGGAATGATCCAAAATACATAGCATCTCTCGGAAGAACAATATTCAATTTCAGTTGTCTAGTACCTCATGGATTGTTAGTATTTTTTCCTTCATATCCAATAATGAAAAAGTGTCGAGAAGAATGGCAAATTGCAGGATTGTGGACAAAAATCGCAGAACGTAAAGTAATTATTTTTGGTATTTATGTAGAAGATGTCCTTCTACATATTTATGAGTGTTATTTTAACTTATGTTTATTAGGCCATATATGTGGAACCACAACACAAGGATAGTTTTAGGAACGTCATGATCGAGTATTGCGAAAAGATTAAAGATCCTTCCTGCAAAGGGGCAATTTTTATGGCAGTCTGCAGAGGAAAAGTGAGCGAAGGTCTCGATTTTGCCAATGCAAATGGCAGAGCCGTTTTAATTACCGGTCTTCCATTTCCACCCTTGAAGGATCCAAGAGTGATATTAAAACAACGATATTTGGAAGAAATGAGAAGTACCGACAAAGAAGTAATAAATTCATTAATCCATTTTCCATATATCAAGAATTGAGAGCAAGAACTTCAGATGTACTGTTTACTGTTTTAGGCTTTGTCTGGCCAACAATGGTATCAGCTCGAAGCATCACGAGCTGTTAACCAGGCTATTGGAAGAATTATACGTCACAAAAATGATTATGGTGCTATAATACTCTGCGATTGTAGGTTCGATAATTCAAACTTCAAGAAGCATTTGTCTGCTTGGTTGAGGCCTTATATCAAACAATTTACTAACTTTGGAATGATTACAAAAAACTTACGAGATTTCTTTAAGTATGCGGAATATACAGTAAGTTTAATTGCTCTACATAATGATTTAAAACAGAGTTGTAAATAATTTATATTATTAGTTACCGCAACCAGCTATGCTGTCAATGAATCAAAGTAGTGCCTTGTTGCCAGCGTCAACAGCTACTTTTGATACAACTGCAACCCGAGTCGCGAGAAGTAGTTCAAAACAAAAATCCGAAGTAATTCAGAAGACAGAAGAAGATACTTTCGATATCGATTTGTATAGCAATAAAAACGAACAGAATAGCAAAGTTGAAAATAAGAAAAAGAATTTCTCCGAGCTTTTAGCAACGGAATCGAAGCCTGTTATTAATTTTAGCGTTTGCAAATTGAAACAAAATTATTCTACATGCGAGCTAACAAAGGGGACCAGTGAACCACTTGCAAAAAAGAGAAAAATAAAACTGTTACCAGTTGAACTCAATGCACATTTGTCTGGTCCATCGACTTCTTCTTGTGCAGACACAACTGAAAATGCTTCAAAAATGATTGAGGAGGCCGCTAATGAAACTGATAAAAAAATTTTGGGGAAAACATACCTCAAAGAGGTGGACATATATTTAACTACCTGAAGTATTTTTAAGTAAAAAAATATTTAATAGTTTGTATATTTAATACACATCGAATATAATTTTAGGTAAAGCGTTCATTGTCGGAGGACAATTATAAAATATTTGCTAAAATGATACAAGAATATACAAAGACGAGTAATTTAGACAAACTGTTGAAAACACTTCAGGACCTGTTCCCACCGAAAGAAGGATTACTCCACTTATTTATAGGTATTCATTTAACTTTACGGCTTATACATAAATAAAATGATTAATATACACATTTTTAGGGTTCAAACATTTCTTGAAGAAACATCATATCAGTGCCTTTGAAACTCATGTTACACATTTAAGTAATATAAAGTCTTGATGATTGATGTATAAGGGAATTAAGAGATTAACTTTATATTTTGTACAATGATCGTTAAAAATGTGTTACAAGTAAGTACTGGCGATTTATTATATACGCAATTTTTTACTTTAACCGACCTTTAAATCGGGGATTAATTTAAATATTTAATAATGTTTCTAATCGTCTGAAGATTTGTCTGAGGTATTGTCTAAGGATTTCAATAAATGTAACTTTAAGCACATAATAAAAATTTTGTACAAAACATTATTTTGCTATAAAAGATTTTGTAACACCAAAAAAATTAACGTGAAGAAAATGAAATTCTACGTACATTCAACTAATATGTACACATGTATATAAAGTAAAATAGGATATATTTAGGTATACAGACACTTGCGTAAAAATGTTAACAGACGGAGTAGTATTACAAAATTTGATAGTAACGATGAAAAGAACCGGGAGAACGAATTCATACGCGATGAGCTTGCGTGATATCCAAAAATAAGAAATTCTATTAATCTACATATACATTGCATTGTGAAGGATATATACATTATGTCAATTCTATATATACGTATATGTGATGCGCGTGTAATTATTATAATAAACTATCGATATTTATACATATATTTCTTCTAGGTCGAATTATATTAAATATTTATGGTCTAGTCTCTTTTTTTCTTCTTTTTGGTGAATAAAATAGGTATGCTAGAGTCCGAACCTCAAGATGAATTTTCGTCTCATCTCGATCCAAGCTGGACTAAAATTTTCGGCTTCTTGCACATTTCTAGGCAATGCCTTGTTTTTTCTCGTTTCAAAATAATTGAAATTTACCGCCAATAATTTCTTTTTACAGCGCCAATGGACGTAATGAGAAAATGCCCACACTATTTGCCGAAATTATTCACAAATGATAACTCTGAAGACGTATTTTAATTCTCGAATTAACGACACATGGTGCTGCACGGTATTTCCCAAGAATTAGCATGGCAGCGTCATCTGTAATTCCTTCAGAGTTATCGTGCGTAGATAATTTTAGCGCTTTCTCACTACGTCAATTGGCGCTGTACACAGGTCGAAGGAAGCTTCCTAGTTGTACCACAAGAGGCGCCACAAGTTCCGCGGTAAATTTGAATTGGTTTGAATCAAAGAACATACACGTACTTATAAATACTACTTAATTAAATCTAGTAAAACAATTATTTTCCGTCAGCGACTTCGACACTACTTTTTTCATTTGTTTTCGGTACATTACTTGGAATATACGTTGGCAACACGTTGAACACAATAATGGTAACGGAAAGAGATATACTTTATGGAGCACAGTTGCCCTAACAAGTATTCTCAGCTGTTTCAATCAGATTCTCGTAGCAGCTTCTTCGAGCAGCTGTCGAAGGACGGAATATATAAAAATTTAAGTAACAAATGACAACTAGTCGCATGTATAAAACGAACTTGATTTGGATAGTTCTCTATCCAGTGGTGGATTACTATCATTGGCGATCACGCTTACGTTTAACTATGTTACATTTTGTTATTAACATAATTAGAGAATAAAAGTGCCCTTTTCCTTCAGAGATATACAGTTTAAAGTGAGGGGCTCAAAAGTGATTTCTCTTCGTGTCTCACGAAATTCCACCACTACTTATAGTGGCTCCAAAAAGCGTACACTAAGTTATCAATTTCTGAATAATTGTCGATATTTTAAACTGCTATGATTTTATAAAAAATCGTTATAAACATCAAGTTTCCAAATGTTTTCTAGAAGAAACTAATACTTGGATTGCGAAGATTTTAAACGAGACCATAATTTTTCACGGAACTATAATAGTTCAAATACTTTTCGGAGCCACTGTTTTTACCATCTACGAGACTCTCAAAAAAAGAAGTATATTAACTTCCACTTCCAGCAATTTGGCAAACAAAGCGTCGGTCGCGATATCGTCTACAATACTTTATCTGATCGTACGTGATCCGATAAGTGTCCAAGTATGTTTTTCTACGGAAATGCAAGTTATCGATGCCAGCGAGCCAGCCTGGCTCGAAGCTTCTTAGTCGATACTCGTTATTCATTATTCATCATTATTTTAATCTCGAACGGAGTCTAACATCCCTTCCACCAATCTAAAAACTCTTTGATCGACCGGTGAACGAGTTTTGAACACAGTGATTATCCAAAACATAAACAGCGAGTATATCTTTCGCTAGGGGTTGTTATCCAGAGAAATAAATTCACCGAGGGACGTCCCCCCCAAAAAAATGCATCTTTGCACTCTGAATGATCCAAAAAAAGAAAAAAGAAAAATGTAGAAGCCGCGGATAGAGAACGTTTTCTGAAATTCATTTTTTGTTCAAACTGAAAGTTCACAACAACCCCAAAGTGGAGCAATAACGTCGATGACCTCGGAATGTCTGTTAATGTATTACCGATTACGTGGTGGTAGGGGGTGGCCCGAAGACGACCCTGCTCCTGGAGACGGCTCCCAGGATCGGTTTCAGCAGGATGAAGAAGCCAGCGATGAAGAGAGACGCGAACACCAAGTTCCTCCCTGTCTCGCTGAACTTCCACCAGCCGGTGTAGGTGCCGGTGATGATACAGGCCAGCAGGAGTATCGTGACAGCGATGCCACCGAACGCGTGCATGATTTTCAAGAGGACGGGCCTGACCTTCGGGTAGACCCACTTCGGATTGTTGGTCACGATGCCGAAGCCTGCGGTCAGGAACACCATGATGATGCTGATCAGCCCGAGGATCGAGTGAGGCGTGACGAAATGCGATTTATTGTGCTGGTTCTTGTTCACCACGATGATGATCAGACCGATCAGCAGCAAAACCAGGCCCACCGTGTGTAGGATCCAGTGCATGGTCACCCGTTTCGACCTTGACAGCTTCCAGCCGAGATACGCCTCGCCGGAAATGCTGAAGACGGCTTCCATTATCAGGAGGCCGACCTACCGAGAAGATCGCGTCAGCATCGTGGTGGTATTTAGTGCTCGAGGTGTGAAACCGTCTAAATAGTTTGTGGATTTTATCGCATCGTGCTCGACCTCTCCGAGTTCAGCGATAGAAGAAATGCATTTTCATTTCGCTTCGATTCTTGCCGATTGACTTCGACAATTGGCTTCCATCGCGGAACGATAGTCTATCGATAATTCCGACAATAGGCGGTTCGATCGTTCCTCGCGTTTGGAAAGAAAACGCCTTTCCGCGCGGCGGGAAATCCTCCCGGCGGTTCGAAACGCGCAAAATTTTCTTTTGCCAAGGCAGAGGAACACTCGCCAGTATAAACACGTTTCATAACCGTGTGTGGTTGCAATAAATGCCTCCGGTATGCGTTTGACGTGACAGACGCGGTTACGTAAATTTTGTCTTTCGACTCGAAGGCTGCCGGAACGAAAACCGACGGAAAGAAAGGGAATCGCGAGATATCGGGAAACCATGGAAATTCGTTTCTGGGTTTCGTCGATGTTGCACCGTGCGTTGCGGACACGCTGTATCGATTCAAAACGAGCTTACGTACGCTGGAACGAAATCTTAGTTAACGGGGAACTCGAATATGAATTTATTTGATCACAATCTTGTTCGTGACTGAAAGTTACAAACCGAAGAGGGATTACAAAGCAATGATGCGCTATTCGAGAATTTAGAACGTTCGAGGGACCGCGAGTTTGAAGAACAATGAAGTCATACTGTAGAACCCGTTTCCATGAATTAGAACAAAAACTCTCGAGCTCGAGATCTGTATGATTCACGAGATCTTCATCAGGCACTTGTCTCGAGTATCTAGTTAATTCTTCGACGCCTAATACGATTAGGTAACACGTTCATTGCCACAATTCCGTATTTCAGTTAATTCAATTTTTCTTTTCTTTTCAGTAATTTCATGTCAAAAAGTAAGCACTTAGGGATACGATATTGAAAGAAAGTGTGACTGGATTCCAAGGAAATCTGCGTATACGATAATAATATACGGTTCAATTCCTTATTATAGACAATGTATAATTCCACGAACTTACTCCGAGGCTCATGCAGATGGGGTGCCAAGAGAAAAGTAGCAGATTCCAGAAGGCGAGAGTAACAATGTATAGCACCGGCGCCAACAAAAGGACATGGGTGAGAACGGAGAACACCATTGTTATGATGCTTGGTGGTCCTTTGCCTGCCGGAGGGTCGGACATCTCTGTTTCACCTTCGACTCTGTAAGTGAAACAAGAATTTGAAATCTCCTATTCTTCGCAATCTCGACGTCGTCAGAATTCATTTTTCTTCGGCCGAATTTGCGCCGCATTGATCTATGAACGAACAAATGTAACAACCGTGGGACCGTAATTGTTCTAACTGGACTGCGGATTTTTATGCAAAATAAAAATTGTCATAAGAATTATGTGTTGTTTAGGAATTTTTTCTTTCTTTTTTCTTTAATGTAATGAAAATAATATAATAATATATTATATATTGATATAATAATAATATAATATAATAATAATATATATTGATATAATAATAATATAATATAATAATAATATATATTGATATAATAATATATCAATGCTCTTCGATTCTTTTTCTCTTTCTTGTCTTTAAAATTACAGCTACTCGTTTTTGTCATAAATGCAGAAAATCCGCAGTCTAGTTATAACTTATGTGCAAGAAACACGAGCGAACGGTAGAAGGATTAAAGCAGTCGATGAACATTGCAAAGGATTAAATTATTATTTGCGACGAAATTATGGCGAAATTTTCATTTTGCATGAAGATTTGCAATTTGCATTTTGCCCAGTTTTTGTTTCTCTTGAAAACGGTGTCATTTTTCCCAGAATTTGCGCAGAAAAATGTGAAATCGTATAAACACTCGCGGCCGGTCTTCTTATTTAGAAGGTAACGATCCCTCGTTCGCAAAGAAAGATCGCGTTTTAAGTATCGAGCGACACCCGTTCCTCGATTCATGAGAGAAAAACGGCAAATTCTTTTGACGCAACTGCTCCTACGATCGTTTAGATGCACGGCGTGTGATTCATTGCTAATTGCGCGGCACGATTCCCCGTTTCTTTCAGCATCCACTTGGACGAACCGACGGAACCTCTGTCTTCTAAGATTGCACAAGCTCCAGCCTAATAAACGAAGCTACTAATTAAGTAGACGGCTGTTTAGATCGAACAGCCTGCTACTGCCACCAATTTTTCGATTCAATGTGCAAACGCGCACAGTGCGGTTGCATTCTCGAACTTTTTATCTCGAACAGGTTTATTTTTATCGCGAACAATTATGCAGATTTCTATGANTATAATAATAATATAATATAATAATAATATATATTGATATAATAATATATCAATGCTCTTCGATTCTTTTTCTCTTTCTTGTCTTTAAAATTACAGCTACTCGTTTTTGTCATAAATGCAGAAAATCCGCAGTCTAGTTATAACTTATGTGCAAGAAACACGAGCGAACGGTAGAAGGATTAAAGCAGTCGATGAACATTGCAAAGGATTAAATTATTATTTGCGACGAAATTATGGCGAAATTTTCATTTTGCATGAAGATTTGCAATTTGCATTTTGCCCAGTTTTTGTTTCTCTTGAAAACGGTGTCATTTTTCCCAGAATTTGCGCAGAAAAATGTGAAATCGTATAAACACTCGCGGCCGGTCTTCTTATTTAGAAGGTAACGATCCCTCGTTCGCAAAGAAAGATCGCGTTTTAAGTATCGAGCGACACCCGTTCCTCGATTCATGAGAGAAAAACGGCAAATTCTTTTGACGCAACTGCTCCTACGATCGTTTAGATGCACGGCGTGTGATTCATTGCTAATTGCGCGGCACGATTCCCCGTTTCTTTCAGCATCCACTTGGACGAACCGACGGAACCTCTGTCTTCTAAGATTGCACAAGCTCCAGCCTAATAAACGAAGCTACTAATTAAGTAGACGGCTGTTTAGATCGAACAGCCTGCTACTGCCACCAATTTTTCGATTCAATGTGCAAACGCGCACAGTGCGGTTGCATTCTCGAACTTTTTATCTCGAACAGGTTTATTTTTATCGCGAACAATTATGCAGATTTCTATGATTATCGCATGAAATCTGCACACATCCGTGAGTAGACTTCGAAAAAATAATATTAGAAAAAGAGCACACTCCGAACTTTGACCCTTCGAAGTATCTTACGCAAAATTGTTCCACGAACTCTGTGGAACAATGCGTTATGATTTAGTGTCGCATAATCGAAAGTAACGCGATGATATTCGTGTTGTATCATTGTAATCGGAGTCATCGTCGATTGCCGACAGTTCAAGCATGATTATGTCAAGGTTATAGAATAATGTTAGAGAAAGAGCACACTTCGAACTTTGACCCTTCGAAGTATCTTACGCAAAATTGTTCTACGAACTCTGTGGAACAATGCGTTATGATTTAGTGTCGCATAATCGAAAGTAACGCGATGATATTCGTGTTGTATCATTATAATCGGAGTCATCGTCGATTGCCGACAGTTCAAGCATGGTTGAAAACAACGAACGTATGCTTGTACGAATTAGTGGAACGGCTCGTTAATCCCCGAGTTAGTCGAATTTTGTTTCGGAGTTTATTATTAGGAGATTATTCGAAATCTCATAAATGTTGGTAGCCGTTCTGCGTTTACAAATTTAGTCTTCTTCTAATTGAACAATAAACGTCGCATTTCCAAAGAACTCGAGTGCAATTGTCATCGGTTTACATAATCATCGACGCATCAAGGGCATTGTCATCGGTACGTGTACCGATAATCCTGATTTTTTAGCGCAACATCCGCACCGTCACGGCCTATCAGTTCGTTAACATTATCTCGTTTATAGGATTATCGAGTTCCTCCAATAACGCCCCTCTATTCGTGTCACAGAGCATAACGGCGTAATTGTGGCACACCGTGGCCGGTTCAAGTGTTAACTGTTGCAAATTCCAGCGTGCGTTTCCTTAAATTGAATGAACGAATGGCTGACAATGGGCGGGAAGGTTTCGGATGACCGACACTGTGTGTCGACCCGTTAGAAAGTAGAATGCAACTTCTTCAACTTCCCACGTTCCACTTGCACAAGAAAGGCTAATTTCTCAATCCAGAAAATCAAAATACAGTAATGTCTCCCTAACCGACGCTCAGATCGCGCACAAAAATGGACAATTCGGGGAGAGGAGATACGATTATCCGAGCCTCGCGGCTCGTTTTTATTATAGTTCTTGACAATTCGTGACTACGAAAACGAACCGCAACGCTCGAATAATCGTCTCCCCTCTTCCCCCGAATTGTCCATTTTTGTGGACGATCCGAGCGCCAATTAGACATTAATTCGTTGTTAAGGGGCGGCTGCAACCCGTGAGATAGCAATTTGAAATTTGCTTCAATTATATAGAAGAAATAGAAAGAAGCAAGAACAATTGAACTTATTTAGACAGGAAATAAATTTGTACTTCTATTCTGTATCAAGATTCGTAGAGCACCGATACTCATCGAAAAATGTAGGATTAACAAAAATAGAGAACCGGGAAGTGAAAAAAATAGAAATATCGAAACGAGAGAAAAAAAGATTCTAGCGTGACTGGGAATAAATCACCGCAGTTCAGTTAATGGCAGAGTATCGACTGTGGTGGTTCACAGGAGAGGAAAAGAGAGAGCGAGAGAGCGAGAGAGCGAGAGAGAGAGAGAGAGAACGAGTGTAAGTGGTTAATTACAATAGAAACGGTCTTGATAATGACACGCTTGTCAATGTCAGTTGAGCACACGTAACTTCGTGGATGTATGTGTGTCAGCAAGACGTCGCTGCAAATTCGAAGACGTTGTACGTACAGTTTTATTGCATATGTAAACAGCGCGGGGAAATACGATTAAATTCAGCGATTGCTAATTATTTTAAGTATCGCTAAACAGGAGTGTGTTCGAGGCCGAACACGAATGGTAAACAAGCAGCAACGTTCAAAAATAGTTACGTTACGGGACCGGTATGAAGTGGAACGTCGGCTTCAGGGATACGTAATTGTTTACGGGCAGATTAACATCGAGACGCGAACGCGAATTCAGGCGAATAAATTTCGCAGGTGTGCAGGGAACGAAGAAGAAACCTTATCTGTTTCGTTCGCCCAGATGCGAAAGCCGCGAGAGATCGCGAGGATTAACACGTTCCGTGCCGAGCTTTTTTTACTCGAATCTTCACACTTTGATATTTGACTAAAACTTGATGTATTACGTGCAATTATTAATTCTCGTACACATAACAACGTAACAAAAACTTATCAACGCCCATTCTTGCGGTGGAAATTGATTCTTCGGTTCTAAATTTCTTGTAAACAATTTGTTCAGTTCACTAAGTAAACATGCAAGCGTGTACCATCGATGGTACACGTGGCACGGAACGTGTTAAAGGGGTTTCAAGAAAATCAATATTAACCCTTTGCACTCGAGATTATTTCAACTGTAAAAATGAAGACATTCTCTTCAACCTACGGTATCTCCATTTGGCACGGTTGCTTTTATTTGATCCGTATGATAATTGAACGTGTACGCTTACCGAAGACTTTTATTATTTGACAATTTATCGAATGACAGACAAATTCGATAATGTGAACATTCTTCTGAAAATAGTCAAGCAATTTCTCGCGTCGTCTCAGAGTCGCCACTCGAGTGCGAAGGGTTAACAACGTGCCCGTAATCGATGGTCTTTGGAATTTGCCGGCGAAGTTACAAACTCCGAGATTCTAAAAATCAATTCGATGAAATAGATCGAGTCTCTAATAATCTCGCCGCCTCCAATAAAATCATCTAATAAATCAACGATCGTTACGATAAATAACAGATTCACCGAGAAGTGGCAGGTTCTTTCAAATACACGCATGAACACTTTAAAGCATGATTTTGAATCCTAAACGATGTTAGAGCAATCAACGGCAGCCGGAGTCGGCGAGAAATTCGTAGAGAAATTCGCTAGGATCATTCACAACCGGCAAAAATCGTCGTTCTCGCGAAAAGAAGAACCGGGTTTGGCAAAAAGCAGCGCGCGCCTTCGATATAATCGCCGGCAAGATAATCGCAATCAAAATCGCGAAGCTTCAAATTGCGCTATAATGAACCACGGAGTGGTCGGTACGGTTGTCGATGAACGTCGTTCGCGAATCGTGATGGGATTGGCGAATCGGTCGGCGGCGATTTTCCGATTCGTTAGCCGGCAGTCCTCGGCCAGAGGCTTGATTACACTTTATCGTAATATAATCACGAGTATCTGATTCGTGACCCACAGCGGCACACTTTTTTTTTCTCTTTTCAGCAGACCGTGCTCCGCTTTCACGGTCCGAATGAAATATGGCCGCTCTAGAACGCGCGAATCTTCTGTTTACATCGCACGAACGCGTGGCCGTGTAGGAAGAAACGATGGAAAATGCAGAGCTCCTCCTCGTTCACGGTTTCTCGGTATAGCGATAAAACGACCGCCGAACGTTTCGTTTCCCAGTTACGCAATGGCCGCGGGCAGAAATAGTCGCGTTGAACCTGAAGGAACCTTCTTAACAAAATAATCGCTCGGGTTATCAACCCTTGCTCCGATTGTGGAACGTCCTCTTTTTCGATACGCCGCTCCAAAAATACTCTTCGACATATCAATCTGTTCGAAGTACAGCAGAATCACGATTAATCGAACTGGATTCTCCGCGATATTTTTTTGTTTAGATCTTTTATTGTTCCAAGTAACAACGATGAGACTATAGAAAGGCCTCGGTTAAATTGAGCTATAC